TAAGACATTCTATATATATAATGTTAGTAATAATTAATGTATATATAATATTCTAAGCATACAGAATATAGTTTATAAATAAGTTATGCCACTGTAAAAGGAAAGATAAAGGCAGATGGGAAGCTGAAGGGAGCAAGAAGGGGCAGGCTCCAGTGGTCAGAGGTGGGCACCATGCTACACATTTTTAATCCTAACAATTTTGTATCCTCCAGATACAAAATACAAATTCGAGGCCAGCCTCAGCAACTTAGAGAGATCCTCTCTCAAAATAAAAACTTTTTAAAGGGCTGGATGTGTAGCTCAGTGGTAAAGCGACCCTGGGTTCAATCTCTAGGACCACCAAAAAAAAGGGCGGGGGAGAGGGAACAGTGGTCATGGAGGGGAGACCCACTGAGAAAGTGACGCTTGAGCAAAAACTTGAAGGAGGTAAGGGTATGTGTTCTATGTAACTCTTTCCATTTCTTTTGGCATCCAAGATGATCAAAACCAAATTTGAGACTCATTACAATACCTGAGAGGCCCCTGTGGACTGTAAATTTGTGGTCTTTTGTCCCTTGGAGAGGCAGGGCAGTACAGTGGCTAACGGCGGTGTGGGTTCCAGTATAAAACTGGGTTCAAACACGGGCCCTCCGCTTACTGCAGGACTTAGCACATTATGTTTCGTTTCTCTGAGCCTCTGTTCCCAATGCTTCAAAATGAAGACAATAAAAGTACCTACCTCACAGGGCTCTTTTCAGGATTAAATGAAATAACATACGCAAATTCCTTTGCGCGCACACACTTCATTCCTTTGCTCACAGGAAGAACTCAATAAAAATCAGCTGTAATTATTGAACCTTGCTCTTGTCTCTCAAAATCTATTTACATTTTACTTGGTCCTAACTCTTTATTCTTATTGATATTTTAGCATTGCTTTATGGCTTCTGTTTCCGTGGTAAGCTACCTCAAATCCTTTGTGGGTTGGGAGGGTTATAAATAAGGAAGTAAATATATAAAAATCTGGGCAGGAGAATACTTTCAACCAAAGCAAAACATTTCATTACCAATAGAGTGAATTGCAAGTGAGGCCAAAAATCAAGAAATATTGACTCTAATTTCTAACAATCCATCAAAAACCACCAGCAAGATGTTTTCTGGTTTTTCAAACCATCCCTTCCCCTCTTTCCCAAACCCCTCTTCCTCCCTCCAACAAGAGAGGGTAAATGAGTCACGCAAAATGACCTAGACACCTCCTAAACCCTCCCAAACTCACATCTACTTCACTTCCTTACGCCTCATAGCACTGTCCTTCCCCATCAGAGAAGAGAAATCAATGGGGTCACTTTCCCCCATGGTTGGGGGGAGGGGGTGGATGCCAGCTCAGTGAGCAGTCAGACCTAGGCTAGAATTTCATTACTGCCATTAACCAGTGAGTGCTGTGGCCACAGGGAAGCCTCCTGGTCTCTCTGGGCTTTGCTTTCTGGTTGGAAATAAGAGTACCTCCCTGCCAAGGTTCTTGTGCAGATGAAAGGGAGAATGCAGGGAAGCAACATGGATAGCTTATTTTCAAAGCCCTCAATAAATGCTAGTTAGACCTTCCTTCCTTAGCTGCACCCCAGGGTAATGCTTAGTGGACTGTGGGAATCTGAGTCCCCTTAGTAAGAGAGTGGATGGGATAGAAGTGGGGTGAGGTATATCTCTGCTCGATAGAAACTCACTGAGTGTCTCTGGGAATGTCAGGGAGGCTCCAAGGAAAAGAAGCAAAAGAGAAAGAAGTGAGTAGGGTAAATAAGAAGAAAAGAAAGCACTTAGTACTTTTCAAATAGGTCATCCCAGTTCTTCCTCACCCCAGCCCTTTGAGGTAGGTGTCATTAACCATACTGACAGTCAGAGCTGGGCTTTAAACCCAGAGCACACAGCTAGGAAATTTTGGGAAGGCAGCTCTGGCCTTCCAAGGTTGCCTTTAGGAAGGACAACAAGTTATCACCACAACAATATATTTTAGTCAGCTTTTTCGCTGCTGTGACTGCAAGAGCCGACCAGAACAATTGTAAAGGAGGAAAGGTTTATTTAGGGGCTCATGATTTCAGAGGTCTTAGTCCATAAGAGGGCAGTTCTGGGCTCTAGGTGAGGCAGAACATCATGGCGGAAGAATGTGGCAGAGGGAAGAGGCTCACTTGGTCAGAAAGCAGAGAGAAAGCTTGAGAGAGAGACTCCACACTCCAGATACAAAATACATACCACACAGCCACATCCCCAATGAACCACTTACTCCAACCACACCCCACCTGCCTCCAGACCCAACTTAATTAATCCCATCAGGGATTGATTCACTGATTAGATTAAGGATGTAACCCAGATCATTTTTCCTCCAAACCTTTTTGCATTGTCTCACATGAGCTTTTGGGGGGACACCTCATATCCAAACCATAACACAGTAAATCCCAGACAACACTGACAAAAACCTGTGAGGTCCTAGCCCACCTCATCTGTGACTCCTGAGCTAGGTACAGCAGGAATCTGCTTGGTGGACCTGATGAGGACTACCTAAGACCCGCTTTCTCCTCTTACTTCCATCAGCTCCCAGGGCTGTTGCTGTTAAATCATCTCTGCTCTCTGAGATTGGGCTTTGTGATTGGCTAGATCTTTTTTTTTTAGAGAGAGAATTTTAATATCTATTTTTTAATTATCGGCGGACACAACGTCTTTGTTTTGTATGTGGTGCTGAGGATCAAACCCGGGCCAAACGCATGCCAGGTGAGCGCGCTACCGTTTGAGCCACATCCCCAGCCCCTGGCTAGATCTTAATTTGAAAAACACACCCTTTAAATAACTTTAACCAAGTCACCTACTCTTTCTGGTTCCCCTTTGGATTATGGGCCTATCAAAATGCCTACCTTCCAAACTTGCCATGGAGATTAAATAGAGCAATGCACTGAAAACATACAAAACAGTGCCTGGCACAGACTAGAGTGCTCATTTATGGCAGCTGCTACAGTCACACTGCTGCCGACATGGGGGGAAATCAGCCTTACTTTCAACCATGGTGTCAATATTCTCAAGGAGGGAAAACAAGGTCTCGAGCATGGCCCACCTGCACATCCATGAAGCCAAGCAGTATAGCCTGGTTACCCCACAACTGCTGTCCCCAAAGGAAACTCCTGGAGGGTAACAAGGATATCTAGTGGGCTTTGTGTCCCCTCCCAAGAAAAAGAAAAAAAAAAGCTAATCAAGGTCCAGTCTAGGGTCTCCTACCAATATCTTTGAAACACATACCTTAGAGCCCTTCTGTGCTGGAGTCAGGGAGAGAAAAGCACCCAGTTCTTCTTCTCGTGAATTCACATTCCACCCAGGGAAAAGATAAGGAAACTCCATCACAGTCAGAATGAGAGCAGAGTGTCTCTGGAAATGTCAGGGAGGCTCCGAGGAGAAAGCAGTATTTGAACTAGACTTTGGGTAGTAAGGAAGTCATGGGAGATGGCATTCCACAGCATGGACAAAGGTCTAGTGATGGGAAAACAGAATACTTCATGAGGATGGAAGACTAGATGGGAGATAAATGAGGAGGCAGGGGGAGCTAGCAAGGTCCATAAGCCTCAGGGGCAGGGAGTACATAATAAAGGTCACAGCTACCATACAGAAAATGGGGAAAGCAGGCCTGAAGTTCTAAGTAGGACAGTCACAGAAGGCTTCTTTGAGGTGACACCTGGAAGATGAGTAAGCCATGTGATTACCTGGGGAAGTGATTCCAAACAGAGAATAATAGTGCAAAGGTCCTGCGGCCACAAAGTGGCTGCCACATTGATGACGCATTAAAAAGGTCAGTGTAACTAGACCTTGGGAGGAAGAAGGAGACTTTGAGGTTACAAAGTTAAAAGGAAATAGGTTCACCAATGGCCCTGCAGGCCATAATGGGGGCTTTAACTTTTACTTGGATTAAATGGACATTGCAGTAAAGGAACAGCATTACCTGACTTAGATTTTAAAAAGATCATTCCAACTGTTGTGCAGAGAATCAACTGCAGATCAAGGGTGGAACCTGAGTGACTAGTAAAGAAGCTATTGCAGAAATCAGGCTAAAGAGGTCAGTGACTAGAACCAGGGTAGCAATGGTATGGTGGTTCTCCTGGGCTTCCCCGTGCAAAAAAAAAAAAAAAAAAACTTAGGATCCCCACCCTGTATGCAGCCCAAAGCATCAAAAAGCCCCCCTCAGGATGCAGTGTAGGGAACGGGCCAGCAGGGTGCCAGCCTGAGGAATGTGGAGCTTGTGGGCAGTTGCTTGCACGTCCAGGCCCTTGGTGCCCACAAAGAAAGTAAGACAGGTGCTGTCTTTCGACGCATGTCAGGTGGGTGAAGGAAGAGGTGTCCACTCGCCCTCGTTCCTCAGAGAGAGAACACCGAGGAGTGGGAAAACCGGCACCTCTTGCGAGTCCTGGAACCGGTTCTGAGCTACTGGCACTGAGTGCGCCCGGGGCAGCCGCTGCACGTACGCAGGTGTCAGCACCTCGCGGGAAGCGCCACGGCCCCTGCTCAGTGCACCGCTCTTCCTACTAGGCCCGTCCGCCAGCTCTGACCCTTTGTATCGTTTGCCTCTACCCCCATCCTGTCTGCCTATCTGTTCTACCCCAGGTTAGGTACCCACTGCCCTGTTGGGGTCCCTCTGGCGGTGGCCGTAGCCGCGCAGCTCCGACCCGGGGCTCCAGGAGAAGAAAATCATGAATGAAATGGATGCGGTGCTCCCACTCCCCCGCCCTCCCTGTCCAGACAACCTTGGTTTGGGGGCGGTGCCTGCGGGGACTCCGCTCAGAGTTGCTGGGGGCAGGGGGCGCCTGGGATGGGTTCAGAGGTTAAGGGTGTGTGATCCTCGCCCCCTGGGGACCTGGGCGCCGCGGGAGCTCCCCACCCCCCTCCCTTGCAAGCCCTGCGCAATTCCCCCCAGCGGCGCAAGCCCGCCCGGGGGCGGGGCGGAGCCAGGGCTGTGGGTGCCCAACCGACCCGGCGGCTGCGCTCGCGACTCCGCAGCTCAAGCGCATTTGGTGGGGCTGTCGGGCAAGGGAGCGCGCACGGAGCGCGGGACTGAGCGCCTGGCGGACGGACCGACGGACGGACGCCCCCGCACACGCAGACGCACAGAGCTCGGCGCGGCCCCCGTCACACACACAATCGCGCAGAGACACACACAGGGACACACGCAGACACACGCACACTCGCGCGAGTACATCCTCCCGCCAGCCTGCCTGCCCGCTCGCCGGCGCCCGGAGCCCGCTCTGGCCGGTAAGTGCGGCGCCTCCGTGGGCGCCTTTGTGTGTGGAGCCGGAAGGCGGAGGGCGCGGGGTCCCTACTGGGGCGGCCGCGAAGCTGAGACCTCCTCCAGCTCAGAACGGAGGAGCCGGCGCCCGCCCCCGCCACGCCCCCCCGTGGGGCTCCCGGCGCCTCCGGACGGGGGGGAGGGGTCTCCCATGCGGGGGAGGGGGCTTGACGCTTGGTGGCTGGGAGGCAGCGGCAGCCACTCCCCGCGAAGCTCTTGCGCGGTTCCAGGGAGAGATCTGGACAGTGGTCCAGGTCGAGCCTCTGCGGCCCAGGCTGGTGCGTGGCTCTTGGCTGCATGGCCTCTCCAGTGTCTGAACCCCAGGAGGGAGGTTGGAAGTCGCCGCCAGACTGCTGGCCTCTAAACCTCAGCTTCCACAGCCTTCTTATCATCGCATTGCCTTCCCGACCCTTTTGCTTTAGGCACCCGCGTCCCACCCACTCGCAAAATAAAAGCCCAATGTGTTCCCCTCCCCCATCATATTGCTTTTTCCTGGATGAGGCCCAGGTTCCTGCAAAACCCATAGATTGCCCAGGTCAAAACCTTGAGGGGCTGGAGGGGTCCCTGGATGTGGTCCTTACCCAAGAATCGCACATCTTAGCTGGTCAGGACCAGAAGAACCTTGGGAACTCATTTAACCCCTTCATTTTACAGATAGGGAAACTGAGACCCAATGAGGTGGTTTGACCAAGGTCACCGGAGAGTTAGTGGCAAAACCTGCATTAGAATCTGGGATCCTTGGCTTTCATACTCAACCCCTCCCCTCCCACACACAACTAGATCCTATTCCCATTGAAACCACAGAACCCCAAAATTAACCTAAGAACCACGAATATTTGTAATTCCAGCCCTGCCCCCATTTGAAGCGGCAAGTGCCATTCATTTGCTACCATTTTTACTGTTTAAAAAATGAATAAATAATTGTCCTTTCATTTGTTTCATTCATCCTCTAAGGCGAGCTGTTTTGCAAGCACTCCAGGTTTAGGATTAGTTTGGGAGAAAGAAACAGCTCTGGATTGGAGATGAGATTCCAGGGTGTTAGTCCCAGTCCTTCCAAGAGTCCCTGAGCCTGAGAGTCTTCAGCTGGCCCAGTGGCACTCAAGGATTCATCCTCTTCCGCCACTTTGACTTACTGCATCCCTCCCAGTCCCTCTTCCCTACTCCTTAAGGACCCAGGTTTTCTAATCCAACAAGGCTACCTCTTCTTCCTTGGTGTTTGTTAAGCGCAGCTTCTTGGTATTGCTGACAAAGCTACTAGAGAAGCTTTAGTTACAACTACACCAGGTTCCAGAGTGTCTCAGCACAAGGCTCAGTCAAGGGCAGCTGGGTGTCCCCATAGCTGATCCCCATGCCTGGTACAGAGGGTGCCCCCAGAGGTAGGTTGAGGGAGTGCTAGCATAGGTGTCTGGTGAAGGGATGAAGTCCATCACCTTCCAAGAGACTGAATAGAATGGTTGGCAGAAGGACAATGTTCAGTCTCTAGGGGCCTGAGGCTCTGTCTCAAGAGCTTCTTTCTTGAGTGGGCTGAACTGAGCCAGGGGGCCAACTGGCATAACTCCAGGGGTGGTCCCTGGCATTGTCCTCAAGAGGCACAGTTTACAGAGACACAGACACTGTAATGAACAGTAGCCCTGGCTTTTTGCTATGCAGAGGCTTCCACTGTGAGAGTGCAGAGAGCAGTGTTCCAGGCCAGGCCAAGGCTCTTTGCTGGCTGTACAATTTCAGTAAATGCTCACACTCTCTCTGCATCTCAGTTTCTCCATCAGAAAAATAGGATTGTGAGATTGGAGATTTTCAGGATATCTTTCAGGTCTGAACTATGTATTGAGGAAAGGTGGGAGGGGGAAGGAGAAGAGCACTTTTATATAACTATTATGGCCCTGATTTCCTCTGCTTTTACTCTATGAGGGTATAATTCCTGACTTAAAGAGATAATAATGTAGGTAGGATACTGAGCACAGTACCTGGGGCATAGAAAAAGCTCAAGAATTTGGTAACTATTAATACCATTAGGGCCCCAGCTTTATAGATATTCCCTCCACTTCCCTCCTTCAAATCATCCAAGGACATGGGATCTTTAAATCCTTAAAGTCCTTCTCTCTCAAAACAATCTCTTCCCTGTGACCTATTCCTGGATTTAATGCTCAGACAGCCTAAGACATCCATCTAGGAGGAACAATACTTTTATTTATCAGTTATTTTGCAACATAATGTAAGTAATAATATGTTTGTTGTATGTGTGTGTACACATATAGTGCCAACAGTTTCCTTACGCTTTAGCTTTTGTATTTAGTCTTCATAACACACTCACAGTAGTGTTATCGGGCCCCTTTTACAGAAGGGGAAGACAAGACTCTGCTTTTAGCTTTTCTAAGGGTGCATGCCTTAAGAGTGTCAGAGCCAGAGAGCTAGGTTTCCAGCTCAGATGATCTGACTCTAGAATCTCAACTCTTTTTTCTGTATCATATTGCCTGTCCTTTCTGGAGACTTGCCCTAAAAGAGAGACAATAACCCTCTGGAAAGAGTAAAGAAGAGGAGATTTATCCTTCTGGAAGATCAGATGGCTTCTCACAGAAGCTAGGTGGCACCTGAGCTAGGTCTGAAAATCTTGTACATTAGAAAGACTGGAGGAGCATTTCAAGAAGTGGAAGTGGCCACTAGGAAGGACTTCTAGGACATGAGCAGAGCAGTTCATTCCAACTGGAGCAAAACAGATAAAAGAAGAGTGATGGGAAGGAAGGCTGGATCGGAGGGGCAGAGGTAGTTAGGGCACTGAGTGACAAACTAAGGGGTCAGTCTTTAGTTTGAGTAGGGGAGACACATTTTGAAGTGTAAAGAAACTCACTCTGCCCCATGGAGAACAGGTTGGAGGTGGAGAGCCTGCTGGCAGGGAGCCCAGCTAGGAAACGCTGTCGGTGGTGGAGGTGAGAAATAAGGAGGGTCTGGACTGAGGTGGTTTTAAGAATGGGTAGAAAAAGGAGTTGATGCAAGAGGCCTCAGTGTCACCAAAACCCAATTTGATGGGGGTGCTACAGGGAGGGAGGAATAAGTGACAGCAAGGCTTTGCAGTAGAATGGATGAGGTTGCCATTCTAGAAGAGCCCAGCAGGATGGGGAGTGGGGAGGCTTAGAAAGGAACCATGACTCTGACGGGGAACCCTGACGATCACTCCTGCAGTGCTGGCTCACCAGTCACCATCCATATTGTCAAGAGCCAGTTCATTCATTCATCCCATTCATTCTCCAATGAATGTGAACATCTCTGATATGCCAGGCTCTTGTAGGCTCTGGGGATGCACGGCTGAAAAAGATGAACTTCCTGCCTAAGCTCTCCCAGGAGAGACAAAAAATAAAACCTAAGCATAAATATTTCTTATGGAAAGCTGTAGTCTGGAGAAGAGTAAAGCAGGATGAAGGGTTACTAGGGGCACAGGTGGAGGAAGAGATTTGCCTTTAAACAGTATTGCCTTTGAGGCGTGATATCTGAACAAAGCCCTGAATGAAGCGAGGAGACCAACTGGAATAGCTGTCAAAGAAGATAAGTGCAAAGGCCCTGGGGTAAGAGTAGCTCAGTGTTTTCAAGGAACCTCAAAAGTAGCTGTAAGAGATAAGCAAAGGAGAAGCATGGCAGAGAAAAAGGTAGGAGAAAGGGGCAGGGCCAATGGTGTAAGTTCTTCAAGGCCTGAGAAATGAGAATTTGCATGGGGTTAATGGGTCCAAGAGAGCTTGCGTTCTGTTCCCCTTGGGTACTTAGTGCCTAGAAAAATAACCCTGACTCTACTCAGTGGCTCACTAAATAGTTAATGAATGTTGGAAATGAACATTTATGTGGGAGAATTCATATGTTAGACTTACTATGACCCGCTATATAATTGTATCAAGGCATAGTAAGGACATAGTAGGCTGTGGTCTGATCACAGTGGTAAAGCTTAGAGGACTTGAATGTCTGTGTTGAGATTCAAATATGAATTTTTGAGTCAAATCTGCATATTTTCTTCAGTAGGGCTTGATATTAGAAACTGCTGTTGACTAAGACTAAATAGCAAAACATACCTGAAATTACTGTAACACAATTAAAATGGTGACATCTGGGGGTCTTCCTTCATCCCCCTCCCAGCACAAAGGCACATCCTCCTGGCCTCATTTCACCTTTCCCTTGCGTAACTCTCATGCTCTTGGCCATTGCCCTCAGAAGGGCCCATATTTGTAAGAGAAGACATCTTCATCATCCAACACCCAAAAAGACAAGTGAGGAGAGAGAAATCATTTATAGGAGTAGAAATTCTTCTCTGACACTTAAATAATTATTTGTATGAATCTACAAGTGGGAATGGGAGAACTCCAGAAGATAGCCAGTTATGTAAAGCACTCAACTGCATTAAACTGGACCCAGGACATGTGCATATTTCAAATTATATGGCACCTGATAAGCAAATATGTAACCAATTCACCAGGAAATATCTCTGAACTAGTGTTCCTGCCAGTGTGGATCAGCACAGCTGTCTGTATAAGTGTCCATGTTCTAATCCTAAACTTACCAGTGAGCAAGTGACCTGGGGTAAGGTTCTCCCCATCTCCCAAACTCAGGTTTTCCTTATCTCTGTGAGGTAAGGCTTGGGTTTCTAGGGCCTCTGAATCCCAAAGCTGTTCTGGCCTGGCCTGTCTGTGGGCCCACATTATTGTCCTTGAACAAAACAGTGTTTGTACTCAGTGTGGACCCCGTGGTGCTCAGATGGTCTTGGTGGGTATGAGGCATGATGGGTATGATCCTGCTGTGGAGATTAGATGGTCCCAAGAGCAGAGGAAGCCAGGTATCATGTTGGATCTTATGATAAGCAAATTGACATATGGTCTCAGCCTTAGAATCATAGAATCTCTGAGCCTTCTAGTACAGACTCCATCCAGATCAACAGATCTGTCACCTCTAAATTGGAAACTCAAGGTCATCCTAAGGGGAAAAAAAACCT